ACTGACAGCACCATGCCGACCGGGCTGTCCTGCCTTGTGTCAGCCCTCCCCTGACAGCACCATGCCGACCGGGCTGTCCTGCCTTGTGTCAGCCCTCCCCTGACAGCACCATGCCGACCGGGCTGTCCTGCCTTGTGTCAGCCCTCCCCTGACAGCACCTGCTGGCCTGCTGGGACTCTGCTTCCAGGAAGCCATTGAGCAGAAAGACATCTCCCTGATGCTTCGAGAGTGTCAAACAAAGCACTGCAATCCCGGCGTCTAAAAATAGCCTTGTCTTTCAGTCCAAGGGGAATGCAGACATCCCCTGTCACTTCGTCCCTCAGACTGCTTTTGTTCTGCGCAAGACCTTGAAACCGACGTGTCTTAACTAGTTTTTAACCCCCGACACGGCGCCAGCTGGCACTGCTGAGACCCTGCTTCCCAAGGCAAGCTAGAATTACAGCAGAGGTGGAGACAGGTGTGAGGCATGTGAGGCACTGGGATGTGTTCAGTTTAGCTAGTTTAGCAGTTTAGTGTAATAAGTACAGTACCTGAGTACAATGAAATGCTTACGTTCATGTTCCCTCACATAATAAATGACATCACAAGCTGTTAGAGACAAGAACATAAAACAATAGCACATGTGCCAACAACATAGTGGAAAGCAGAAGTGTAAAATACATGTAGTAGCAGTATGTATAAATGTACAGTTGGCAGTAATATACATAAGATACAAGTACAGAACACAATGGCAGAAGTAGTATACATTAGAAGTTAACAACTGTGACTTTCAGCAGCATTCAAACAGCAGCAATATGCACAAGCCAAGCAGCAACAGCATTGCGTGTTCAGTGCAGAAGCAGTGGGGTGTAATGTGAGGGTAGGAGGAGTATGAGGTGGTGTTCAGAAGTCTGTTGTCCTGAGGCCGCGCCTAGCGAAGATGGTTTGTGCTGAATCCACCACCCTCTGCGGTTTCATTACGTACTGTGAGGCCATGACAGCCCTTCACAACGCCACCTTTAATCTCAACGGACGGATCAATTATCTACGCTTTCTTTGACACTTGTGCTTTCTTGTCACCCTATTTGCAATCTCTCCGTTAACCTTTCTGAACTAATGCATGTTTTCGTGTTGTTGTTTGCCTGCAGCTCTGGAACTAATTCACTGAATCGGACATTAACGTGCAAACAAACACCCTGTTATGTCCCAGACCTTTACAGCGCATCGTCAGCTCTGACTAATGGATAGTCTGTGGGGCTTGTAAACAGGCCTGCGGAGGGCAGAGCAGATGGCTGGAGGCTTCCCTGCTGTGCACCTCTCGCACACGCACGGGGCCTCACCTGCTGGCCCAGGTGTGCACGCCGAACAGCCTGATCTCCGCGTACGAGAGTGAAAGTCAGGGCTCAGCATGCATCAGTGCTGTTTGCTTTCTCATCGGCCGAGTTAACAGGTATGCTGTGCCTGCAGAATTGTTTTCTTAAACTATACCCCGCTCACCCTCAAATCTAATAAAACACTCAGCAGTACAAAACAATCTCCTCATTTAGAATGAATACTGCAATTCATTAAGAACATAGGAAATGTCACAAATAAGAAGGGACCACATGGTCCAGTGTGCGCATTTAGATGTTATCCTAATATCACTACTGGTGCTGATATACTCCTCTGGGTTGAGTTTGTCCATACCTTCAGGATTTAAAAGTACTCCTAAATATCCTCCTTTAGATCATCTTGCAAATCAGCCAGCAATGACTGTTGATATTCCAAAGGGGAATACTTCTTGGCTGAAATCAAGTGGAGAGTTCCAAAGGGAACTGGCTCTTCCACCATCGTCTCTCTGATTTGCTAATGTCCGTGCCCTGCAGTCACTGCCCAGACTCGACTGGGTCGCTTACTGTCTGCTCTCCATGGTGGGATAGGAAAACAGGTGTTGAAAAAACATGTCGCGTTTTATTTTGCCTAGCGACGTCTCTGTAGCGGTAATGGCACTGATGCAAAAAAAACGTAGCTTCTGAGGCTGCGAGTCTAATACAGGCGCTGTGATAAGACGTGCCGCCTGCTCAGCAGGTGTGATTACAAGTCAGATCCGCCAAGGCTCACAGACACCCCTCTTTCCCCGTCAGGCTGCTGCTGCAGGCAGCAGGAGAGACAGGAATGCTGCAGCCACGCCCACCTCCCCCCCATCCTCCCTCAACAAACTCTGTTGACAGCTCTTTCTGGGACTGGAGCCAATCCTGTCTCACAGGACGAATCATAGCACCAGATGAAAACAAAACCGCTACCTGATGCAGAATAATAGTCTAAGTGCCCCCCAGCAGCTGCACTAATGTAATTGCATCCTTCTGATATTGTGCCTACTTTTCACAACTCCTGCAGCTTCCTAGGTCACAGGCACAGCGCTCTCCTGGACACCTACAGACAGGTCTCGCAGATGACACAAGCTGTTTGTGAGCCATCTGTTTCTGCCAAACACGAAAACATCACCAATGTCTGACAGGTTGGCACTTTGATTTCTCCTTTCTGTCATATCTGTGATAGATCCACAGAGTTGGATCGAGTCCTGCACATTTTGAGTTGTTTACCGGACTTTGGGCAGTCATGCGGTTTCCCTGACTAGGAAGTGCCATTAACAGCAATTGAAAGCTTACAGTTATGGCTTGTGAGCTCCCTACAAGGCTTTCAAGATATCTACCAACACCGAGCTTTACAAATCAGGAAGGTTTCGCTGTCAGCATTTCACCTGTCTCAGAAGGCACATTCCCAGCACACTTAGACTGGAATTCCTTTCAGTGAATAGGCTCCTAAATACTATTCTCCACCATGAACTCCTCGAGGAAGGGTATCTTTGCAGCAGGAGGTTGCTGTCTGGGAGAAATTTACAAACTGAGTCTCTCAGTAAATAAGGGGTAGCTCGCATATTTGATCGTGTGAGAATAATGCCCGATCTGAGCAAAGCAAATCCCTGGCCAGCTCCTAATGCCTAATGCCTCCAAGCTCAGGGAGCTCCATCCCAGTGCAGTGAGGCTTTCGCACAAACAAGAACCTGCAGGTTAATAATAGGCACAGGGACATGGACGTGCTGTCCTCAGCGCTAATTGACCAGAGGCACACACATCCTCAGGCCTTTATTCTGCTGGCACAGTTTCACAGCAACCAGCGGGAGTACGTGGCACGTGCCAGGCAGCACAGCTCACCGTTCTCGCTGGGCTCGGCGCTGGGAGGCGGATGACTTGCTGGAGAAGGCAGAAACTAGCACAGCCCCAGTAGAAAGCCCTCGGCAGCTCACAAATTAACAGGCTTCACATAAAAAAAGCTACTTACATAGGGTCTAGGACTGTTCTGTGATGCAGCACTTGTGGGTGTATTTGATTACATTCCCAGGTGGGACTGTGTCCTTTCTAGCTCCTGCTCAGTTTAAATTACTCCTTCACAGTCTTGAGTGCACCTGTTCAGTCTCAATTGCTCCTGCTCAGTCTGTATTGCTCCTGCCTCATCTCGATTGCTCCTGCCTAACCTTGATTGCTCCTGCTCAGTCTGTATTGCTCCTGCCTCATCTCGATTGCTCCTGCCTAACCTTGATTGCTCCTGCTCAGTGACAGCTGCCAAGCTATTATGAGTCTCTGTGAGCAAATTCATTTGCTGGCAGGTGTTAACTACTGTCGAATTGTCTTGTTAAGGTGTGTGGAGACAGACATGTCCTTAAATCAAGCTAGGTTTAATTAATTTTAGGAGATTGTACTCTTGATAAAAAATGGCAGCTAGATAACATTTATCTAGTCCAAAAAATGTCGTCTGATACAATTTTTGTTTTCAAAGCCCCGTTCTCTTTTTGAAGCAACATGAGCTCTGATTTTCTATACTATTTGTTTCATTTTTTGGTTTTCTTCCTGATTGTGAAATAAGATGTAAAAGTATATTAATATATATCTAGTTCTAAGCCAAAAGGCTTCAGTAGGAGGCTCATGGGTTCAAATTCCAGATGGGAACCTGCTGTTGTAAAGTACTTAACTCAAGTTGCTAAAGTGACTGTCCTACTGTATAAATGGATCTTCCGGTTGTCATTGTGAATTCATGCCAGTTCATTTATGATCTGCCATTTGTATCATATTCTGCATTAGAAATTTGTTTCAGGCTCCTGCAACCCGAAGATGTAACAGCCTGCAACACTTTGACACCAGCGGCAGCTCATCTGACTGGATGTCTGTTTCTGTAAGAGGCTGAAGAGGTAGAAACCTCTGGGTGATTTCAGCCAGGCAGGGGCTATGAGATGGATGGGTCATAACACTTCTGAATTGCAATAATGCGCATAATGATTCGGAATCAGGAAAGCCATGTACAATCAAGGGTGTGACACTGCATTTTCTTTCAGGAAGACAACATCCTAAAACATCTGCCCAGGTTGTTTTCTGCAAAGGGTCTGCTGTAGCACTCAATGCCTGCCATCTTTAAACGGACAGGTGGCATGCTCTTTTGAGCTCATGCTGAAGCAGAGGGGGTTACAATGTTTCACTTAAACATATCTGTGAGAGCAGCCTTACTCCACTTGTCGGATAACCTGTCAGTTCAACCAATACAAACACAATTGAATTTATCTATCCACCGTTCATTGCTCTTTTTATTCTGTTGTAGGTAACGTCATGGTTTGAAGGAGACTCCTCAAAACAAAAGGGATAAAAGTGAGATGTCTTGATCTAGGTGTTTGTACAGATCTTAGTGATTAAGTGGCTTTTTTTCTGGGGCAGGACTGATAGGCAGAAATTAAAATGGCAGGGACTAATTTTGACGCTGGCATTTTAGAAAAGCAAGACAACCAGACAGAACTGCATCACACTGACGCACAAACACAATCCCGAGCACAGGACGTGATTTTTTGCACACTCACTGGGACACAGAGAACACACACAGCTCACATCCTCACAGCCCCTCCTGAGGGATAATCTGACAGCACAGGTCTGTTTTCACACGCTGCACAGCACATCAGAGCTGGTAATGATGCCGTCTCTCCCTCAGAGGATCAAACCGTCTAAAAATACTTTCAAATCAAATGTTGTTGTTTTTTTTTATTGAATAAAAGCAACCGCCTGTTAGATTCATCCATTTGTATTTTTGCATCGGGTCAAGAGTGGATGAACGAATGCTTGTCAGATTTTAAAGGCACTGTTTCCACTACAGAGAAATGCATTTAAACTATGGGAAAGTGCATTTGAAACTGAGGATCGGAAGCAAGTCTTCACACAAATTCATGTAGGGCTACCAAGCTCCTGCCAAACAAGACCCCAAGCCCCTTGTATCCGATCCAGGTGACCTCCTGTGTTGTCCATGTGGAGACCAGGCACGCGACCCGGGTCTGGGGATAGCGAGAGCCCTGCTGTTTCGCAGAAACCGGCCGGTTCGATCAGCCACAGCTGACGACACCTTGTTGAGGCGCAGAGTGAAACGCCATAGCGTGGACCACATGAAGAAGAGCGGTCGAAACAGTCTTTCTTTCGCGCCCGGGTGTGGCCTCGGTCGAGGTTCAGCTGCAGCTCTTGGCAAGACCAGATCAACCAGTGATGACTCGCTGTTGGCCTGTCTGACGTTGTGATCCAAGAACAGTTCACAGGAGAATCCCAGGGGACGTACAGTAGGTCAGGTAACAAAACCATAAACAGGCAATGACAGAAGACGCTTCTATTTTTCTCAGTTACAGCATCTCAATAAACGGAACACATTTTTTTCCCATGGCAACTTAGGATGGCCAAATTTATTTCTGGAGCAGGTCTGAAGTAGGCTTCTCTGCATTCTCCGCATGGTCTGCACAGCTGATGAAAGGATTCTGCTATTGATTTCTACCAGGTCAGTGGTGATACAAGAATAGAGCATGCCCTTGTTGTGCTGTCGTGCTCAATCGCCAAGGGACCAAGATTCGGGGTCACTGCCTAAAACTCTCTAATCGCAGCGAGCCGGTCTCCCTCTGGGTCCAGCGCTGCCTCCTCAGAGCCTCTCCTTTTAACCCGAGGCAATTAGAAATGGTCAACCAGTGCAATTAATCAGGTCAGTCTTTATTAGAGGCGACCAGCGCTCGTTGTGGCACTAGAACGCTGCTTGCTTTTGTTTCTGTGTTGTAAGCAATGAATTTAAATACCGATTGTCTGTTTTTCTCCGGAGCCAAGATGTACGCTGTTTTTGTGTGTGTGTGTGTGCTGTAAATTGAATCGCAGTGAAACCAATACCAGGAAATGTAGGGAAAAAAGGTGTAGCAGGGGTCTGTTTGTGTTGATGTGCGCGCATTGGAGAGCATGAGCTGAATAATTATTTATAGTCAGAGGGTGACGGTAAAATGAGAGCGTGCGATGTGTGAGGATGATGATGATTGTTGAGCTCGTCCACCCCCCCCAACTCCACGACCACCACACCGCACACACCACGGTTACCCTCCCCAACCCTCTTCTTCCCCGCCCCTCTCCTAGGCTCTGCTGCACAGCCTGAGTCCGCCCTGATGCCCGCAATTACCGGGCTCGGCTGCCGCGTCTCCCCCCGGTTCTCACAAAGGACTTCACCTTCAGTCCGGCCGCAGGCAGGCGACGCGCCTCGGTCCCTGTGTGCGCCGCCGTCCACAGTATCATGGAGGAGAAGCGTCAAGGTCGTGGGCGCATCTAGAAGCTGCTCGCGCGGGCGACTCGCCTAGGAAGTCAAGGTAAGGAGACTGATGAGCAACCACCCCCGGAAACACAGGTCTCGGGCACTAGGTGTTTTAACATTTTCCCGCAGAGCGTGCAATTAGAAATTTGGGGGGTCTGGACGGGAGGGCATATTCGCGATGGTCACATATTTCCTCACTGCATGATATAACTCCAATGCAGCACCCGGCTACACGGCAACGTTCCGTGTTTTCGCCTCAGTTTTCGCCGTCTGTCCGTGTAATTGTGTTACGGTGCTGCGTCTCCTGTGTACACGGTGCGGGGTGCCTGATGACTCGGGCTTGTTACAAGTCGGGCTCTTGGTGCGATGAAAGTCGTTACAGACACATTAAAGGCTTATCAAAACCGAGCTCTCCCGTCATCCACGGATTCTGATTTTAGCATGCATCAAAAACGACCGCCTTAGCTTTCCGTCCTGCTTTAAAAAAAAATGCATTGCACTGTTTGAACTGTTTTCAATACCAACCGACGATTTTTATTTTTTTTTTTAAACCAGCTTTTCTTTGTTACACACTAGACAGCGGCGTAGGCTGTCCTCCCTTAGCTCGTGAATATCCGCCGCTACCGGAGCACAACGCTTGCATCTACCGTGCATCAATGTCACAGGTGCGGCGTTTAAATACTTGAAAAGGAAGGACATTTGCGCTTGTTACCTTACGAGTACAGTGTGTAGGCTGGTGATTAATAACATTTGGTGTTTTGTAATGCATGTGGTTTCAGGGAGATTGGAAACGCGCTGATGCCTCCCTGTGGTTTTGTTCTAGATAGCGAGGTACAATGAATGAAGAGGCGCAGGTTAATGCAAGCTGGCTGCCTCAGGACTACTCCCATGCTGAAGGTGGCGCTGCAGAGAACGTGACAGCTGCCGTGTCTTCCCTAGTGCCCGTCGTGGACACAGAGCCCGAGCTCATCGTCAACCCCTGGGACATCGTCCTGTGCACCTCCGGGACCCTGATCGCCTGCGAGAATGCCATCGTGGTCCTCATCATCTTCCACAACCCCAGCCTGCGGGCGCCCATGTTTCTGCTGATCGGCAGCCTGGCTCTGGCCGACCTCCTGGCCGGGCTGGGCCTGGTCATCAACTTCGTCTTCGCCTACCTGCTGCAATCCGACTCCGCCAAGCTGGTGACCGTGGGGCTGATCGTGGCCTCTTTCTCGGCCTCCGTGTGCAGCCTGCTGGCCATCACCATCGACCGCTACCTGTCCCTGTACTACGCGCTGACCTACAACTCCGAGCGGACGGTCACCTTCACTTACGTCATGCTGCTGGTCCTGTGGGGGGGGTCCGTCTGCCTGGGCCTGCTGCCCGTCACGGGGGTCAACTGCCTGCGGGACGAGTCGACCTGCAGCATCATCCGGCCGCTGACCAAGAACAACGTGGCCGTGCTGTCCGTGTCCTTCCTGCTGATGTTCGGCCTCATGCTGCAGCTGTACGTGCAGATCTGCAAGATCGTCCTGCGGCACGCCCACCAGATCGCCCTGCAGCACCACTTCCTGGCCACCTCACACTACGTCACCACCCGCAAGGGCGTCTCCACGCTGGCCATCATCTTGGGCACCTTTGCGGCGTGCTGGATGCCCTTCACCCTCTACTCCCTGATCGCAGACTACACCTACCCCTCTATATACACCTACGCCACTCTGGTGCCCGCCACCTACAACTCCATCATCAACCCCGTCATCTACGCCTTCCGCAACCAGGAGATCCAGAGGGCGCTGTGGCTCATATGCTGTGGCTGCGTGCCGGCCAGCGTGTCTCAGAGAGCACGCTCCCCCAGCGACGTGTGAGCCCCCCTGGGGAACTGACGCACCCGTCTTCTCTTTGGGCACACGCTGGGGTGGGCGTGGGGTGGGGGGGGAGAGAAGGGGGGGGCCGCTGGATGCTTGTGGCTTTTTTTATTTTCGGTTTTCCCGGCTTGCGTTTCTCAGGCAATCTTCAGGTAGCCATGCCTTTATCGTTCATCCGGAGAAGCTGTGCTGGTTGGCTTTTAGTAGGCGCAGGTGTTGAATGGGCCGGCTGTCTTTGTAAGTACAGTACACTTCTCCATCCACCCTTCCATCCATCCATCTGGTCGGGGCAGGAGAGGAAAACGTAGGCCCTACTAGAACTCAAGTGTGATTCGTGATCCGTAACCTAGAGACTCAAGACTTAGAAAATTAAAAGGACAACAACTATTACGTGCAAAAGCTTAGAGCCAAGACTGCGTGTAGGGAAAAGTACGTGTCTGCATGATGCAGTCTGTACCCAAGATGCAGGAGATCTGACATGTTTTCTGAGAATCCCTTTGCGCTCGGCTTCATAGGATTGATCATTGAGATGCTCCACCACTCCCAGTAGTGACACCGCTGTGAGACAGCGGGAGGCAGGAGAGAGGAGGATGGGAAATTAGAAACGCAAGAGTCCCTTGCTCCTCATTTCGTCTTGCTAGTCGAGGGGTTTCAAAGCGTTTCTGATTGTTTTCTGCGGTTCGCCGAGGAAATCCCTGCTCGATGTGCACGTGAAACAAAGGTCTGTCTGTATAAGCGACAGCAAGAAGGTACGAGCTGACACGCTCGCACACGCACACACACACACACACGCGTGCGCGCGTGCATGCTCCGGTGGCCGAAGGCAGCAGCTCTGATCGGCGAGCGGCGTGTCTCTGGCTGCACATCACGAGCCCGGCCGCAGCTACAGTAACGTGCCCTGCAAGTTAAAAACGAGCCGGCAGAGCAGCTGTGCTAAAAATAGAGCAGGGCTGGAGCTGAGGCTGTGTCTGCGGCAGACTCTCAAGAATATTAACTGGGTGACACCAGCGTGAGCCTTCTGGATGAGCCGTCTGGAAATTTGGCCAAGCTTTGGTGCAGCTCTTTTCTGTTTTGGAGAAAGGCTCCTCTTTCGCACCGAAGGGCAACGCAAACAGTAACGCGGTCCCTAGTCGCTTCGTGTTCGCGAGAGAGGAATGTCTAAGCAAAACTGCTATTAGCCCCATAGCTAGAAAAATCCACAAGCCACAATGGATGTATTAAACGTATAGTGACTCAGATAATGCCTTGATTTATAAAAATGTTTTAAAAGTAAGCTTTTAAATAGAAATACCATTGTTAGGTGGCTTTATTTTATCATTAGAGCATAGTTTAATGAAGCTCCTTGAAGAATATTATTCTTTTTATCTTTATGGTAGGGTTAGTAATACTATGTTTAATACAATTTTACATATCTCCTGGACTGTACAGAATAACCTGAAAATGTGCTGTCAGTGTATTGAGTGTCTTATAACTAAGTGCGCAGCTCAACATCTTCTGTAGGTTCCAGGGCTGGATGGTTTTTAATGAATAATTCATTTCGCAAACCCAAACCAGCCATTGTTAAGTATGGAAAGCAGACTCCCTAAAGCTGAACCGTTAACAGATTTTTAAGATCTGTACCATCACATGAGCTCTTGGGCTGTTGGACAGATGGTAGTAACTACCTGGAGTGTTAATAAGGTTCTCCTCGCGGTAGTGAAACATGTGAGCGTTGATTACTGTAACGAAATGGCCCAAATAACCAGTTGAGCTGTCGTGAAGCTACAGCTGCTCCACTGACATGTTTTAAGCAAAAAAACAGCTTCCATCGTCCCAGATGTCAGTGACAATTCTAGACTCTCATTTTATTCACCTTAACTGTTGCTCAGTCTCTTGTTTATGATCTTTCTCAGCCTGCCTTTTTAAGAATCCGGATCAAAGCATTATACATTGATATTTATTTCAGTTTATCTCTTTTGTGTGCGTCAAAAGTCAATTAGCAATAACTAAATCCTGACATTATTTTTCACCTTTTGGTATGAAACGAACTCCCGAGAATTACAGCAATATTCACACAGCAATAAAAAGCTCATTCCAGCCACAAGCTCAGTACAAGTATTTTAATAGAAGCTATTTGAGTTCAAGGGCACTCTGCAATTACTCCAGCTTTGGTACTGAAATACTCAATGGGGATTCAAATGATGAGTGATTATTTTAAGTAACAGAAAGCACATACTGTAACTTACTATGTTTGATATCTTAATTTGTTTACTATCCCTTTTAAGGACAGTTAAGAACAACAACGTTATTTGGAAATCAGAACATACCACACAAATACAGACCATTAATACTCTTTTCATACAAGTATTCGCCAACGTTCAACCACAGTGTTCTGTTCAGTCTTTTCTGATATCCAAGGTAGAAGGGTTTTCCTTGTAGTTGCTTTTCAGTATGGGGCCTGTGTGCTGAGGTATCTGTACCTTCTCAATGGAAGGATATTGCACAAGATTGGTGCACTGTTATATGTTTCGGTACTGCAGAACAGAAAAGGGAAACGTTCAGGAAATTTCTACCGTGATTTTTCTTGAGGTACAGCATCAGATGTTTAGTACTTGCAGTTCAGTCCTGCGGGTTTCATCAGTAAGGCAGAGTCTTCATATTCACAGCGGTGGGGTCTGACAGCTTTCTCCCCTGCTTAGCTCACCATTATTTGAGGTAATCCTCAGCTGAACCTACAACCTGGTTAAAACAGAGCAGAGTTTCCAGCTGCTACAGCACTTCCTCAGTGACCGGAGGTTCCGAACAGTAGTTAGGAAGGCCGAATTCAGCAAATGCTTATTTATATTCAGTTAAGTGAGTGAGAGGTTATCTAGGAAGACTTTGGGTCACAGCTCTCTGGGTTTGGAAGGCCCCCATTAAGGCCTTAAACAATGTATATGGAGCAGCAATTCAACATAGAATTATTGCTGCCCCTGTCTGGGTACCTTTCAGTCCACAGCACTTTTGTTTATTTTCTCCTTGCTATATGAACAGGCATGTGCAATAAAATCTGCAAGCGAGCCCGGTCCCTCTGGCTGTCTGGACGGGTTCCGCTTCTGCACACCTGCTCTTCTCAAAAACATGCCTGTAGAGTAATGTGCTTCCTCCAATGAGCTGGGCTGAGGCACTGCTGAGTCCTAGCCACTTTTCAGATACGCCGCTGTACAGATGCCGGCTGGCTTGCAGGGAAGAGCAGCCTAAGCAGTCAGATCCCCTTTCCTTTCAGTATGGCTCCAGCCCCATCATCCATTTGAACCCCCGACCTGTGACGGATTGCCTGAGAAACATGAGCGTTTGTTCCAGAGCCAGGAGCACAGCTGGGGATCTCCCTCCTGGTGCTTTACCCCCTGTAGTCAGTGTCCAGGAACTCTGGACCTGACACTTCTCTTGCGCTGTCTAACATGCTGAATCCTAAGGGAAGGACCAGTCTTCCCCTCATGCCAAGAAAATTGTACATCCTCGGCCTTATCGCCTCTTAGTGGGGCCTACAGAGAAGTCAACAGAACAATGCAGATACAGACAGAAAAGTCAACAGACCTGTGTAGATACAGGCTGAGAAAGAGGTCAACAGAACTGT